CATCAAATGGAAAACCCTAGGTTTAAGGTTTAATGTTAATTGCTTTCGGTTCTTAGAACGAAATTGGTTGAATTGTAGTTATGGCCGGATGACCGGAGATGCCTTCAACCTATTGCCTCTGTCTAGTGGTGTTCCAGTGCCCATATGCTTGTGCGGCGATCCTTGTAAGGTAGCCAAGTCCGATGAAGAGGACACACATAGGCAGAGGTATTGGATGTGTTCTAATTTTACGTTTGAGCCTACACTTCGTCAGCGCCGCATTAACAAGATGGTGAGGAATTGATGTTTGTGTCATATGACATCTTGCATTATTTTTTTATTTTGTAACAATTACATTTTTTGCAGACCCCTCCACCGCTCTATGATTTTGAGCAGTGGATCGACACTAAGATCAAGCCTAAAGGCAAGAAATGGATGCAGAACTATTGCGGTGGGAGGCAGAGCACAAGGAGATGATGGAGAAGAGACGTGGAGAGTAGGCTGCAAAAAAAAGAGCACTAGGAAGAGGTGGAAAGGAGGCGTGTTGCTACGTATAGGAGAGAGAGAGAAGAAGCTTGAGCGTGCAAGGTGCCGAAGTACATCAACGATGGTGCAAAGGTGCATACCCCTCTATCTACTATCGTACGGCATTAAGTAGGCCCTGGTGCCTATCAAATATGACGCCAACCTCCCTGTCAGGCCCAACCACATGTATCTGGACTAGCCTCAAGAACCATCCTCAACTATCATTGTTCTCCTTCTCAACCAAAGCAAATGTCAAATGAACCAACTTGTTATTCGCGTTACAGGATATGGCTATAAGAAGTGCGCCCTAGTATTTGCCAATCAAGAACGTACCATCAATGGAGAAGATGGGACGACAATGCCTAAAGGCCTCGACACACTGAGGAAAGCACTAGAAAGCACGGAAGAATATCTGCCTCCCATCCTTCCATGCATTTGGTTTTGAGATGTACTCATAATGCATGCCTGGATTCACCGCTTTGATTACATTGAAAAGTACTGGCAGCTGTTAATACCCATCCTCCTAGTCCCCATATATCATCTTCCAAGCTCGCTGCTTAGCCCTCCAAGCTTTACCATAAGTTATCACATAATCTCCATACAACGCCTCAACGGTCCTGATAATTATCCTAACCTTCATGTTGAGTTCTTCCTGTAATATTCCTATCAACTGCTTGTCAATGAGGGTAGATGTCAACTGTCGATGTTTCAGTGTCAGCACATGGTCAACACAATTGTGTGCCCCGATAACTTTTGTAATCTTTCACTTTCCGATGACATTTTTCTTCCTTGCACAAACCCTCCATTGGTAGCGTTCCTTGTCACACACAACTGTGTAATGGCGCTCCGCATATGAATGCAAGACCTTGTAAGGTCTCTTTCGTATCACTGCAAACACCTACAACCACCTCTTCAATGTAGGGAGGTCCTTGAATACCCTCCCATTCTCAATTACCATGTTAGGGCCCGCCTCAAGAGCTTCTAGGAGCTCATCATCACGTCCTTTTGCACATGCCTGATCGGAATGAGCAAGATCGCTGAACTCGTGAACTCTTGGATCACGATGGCCGGGAAAGATACGCCTCAGCATCTCAACATCACTCTCTGACAGCTCTCCAACAAGACGATCATCATCAGAATCAAGAGTCCTTGCCATCTCATATGGCTCCGAATCATTTATAATTTCAACACTATTGGAGCCATGGAATCCATCTCCATAGAGCACTTGCGCAGCAACAGTGGGCACATCCATATTGTCAGGAATGTCTACTACAACATAAGTAGAAAAGTGAGGAAAGAATAAAAAATTAGGTGTAAGGAATGGGGTAAGCTCCCAATAACCATACGGATAAGACACTTACTCGGATGATTTTATGTCAAAGAAATCTCATAAGGAGGATCTACCACAACATTATGAGTCTAACAAGCATCTCCAACTAGCATATTGGAGGCAGATTAAGCATCGGGAACCATAGGTGCAACCTCCGCATCCATATCAGATTTCGAGATGAGAGGGTCAAAGTGTGCCTACTGACCCATTGGTGGGGAAAACCCATGAGGGATAGGATCAACTAACACCCGACGCACAACCACGTCCAAACTTTGGAACTAGCACTTCATAGCCGATCTTACATAGTTCTCCCACTGGTCTGCACACCCAATTGGAATCATCTTCCTAAGAATGTTGGGAGGGGAACCTAGGTGTTGATGTTTCGAGTAAACATCAATGAGTAAATTTGTATTATTGCGCGTCTGGTTCAGATGGTGTGCTAAGAAGACACAAGGTTTATACTGGTTCGGACAGAATGTCCCTACGTCCAGTTCGTGGATTGCTACTCGTGTTACTAGTACTGAAAAGTTTATAGTAGGGGTTATAAACGGGCGAGAGAAGGATATGTCCTAAGTCTCTGGTGGTGTGCGTATGTGTGTTGTATGATGTTCTACGATGAACGATGCGATTGTTCGATGCCCCTTAGTGGGGTGCCCTGCTTTTTTTTTTATAGGCCAAGGGAGAGCATGGGTTACAAATTGAGGAAAAAAGAAAAACGAGAGGTAAAGAAAGTCCTTCAGAGTCGTCGGGCCTTCCTTTTCCTTCACGTGGTCCCCCTGACATGGCAGGCAGTAACAGGGATAGTCCCACGCCGAGCGCATGTCCGCTGATTATGACAGGGCCACGCCAGGCGCCTATCCGCTGATAATGCCATGCCCTAGCTTTGTCAGCGGGTCATCACGTCCTATCCCACCCCGGCGGGCGGCGCGGCGGACCAGCGTGCTGATCAGCGGTCGTATAGGGAGTAGGCAGCACAGTGGTCACGCGTCCGCCACTGTGGCGATGCGAGTTCTCTGAAATGACATGTCGCGGGGATGGGTTGTATTGAGATGTGACCGCTCCCTGCACGGTGCCAGAAGTTTGACCTTGGGTCACACCTTCTGGACCATAGTGGTTGTCGCGAGCTTCCATAAGGATCCGTAACCGAGATCGGGCGAAGCGGAGCCAACCCTCGACATCGGGCGAAACAGAGCCAGCCCTCCGACGTCGGGCGAGGCAGAGCCAACCCTCAGACATCGGGCGAGACGGGTCCAGCCCTCGGGGGTCGGACGTGGCGGAGCCAACCCTTGGGAGTCGACCGAGACGGAGCCGACCCTACGGGGTCTGGCAAGGTGGAGCCCTCGGCCTCGGTGGCCGAATGAGGCGGAGCCCAGCAAGAGATGTAGTCACGCTCTTGATTGCTTAGATGAATTAATATTGATGGTTATTAGCTCCTCCTCTTCGGGTACCCTAGTTTTGGTCCCCGACACTAGGTGAAGTACACCCTCCACTGCGATGCCATCATCATCATCAGCTCCATGGTAATGTAACTCCTCCCGAGCCCTTGCAACCAACTCACTAAACGATGGCTTCTCATTGAATAACACAGGCACGCTTTGCATCTCAACAAACTCAACATATCCATAGCGATCTCTTTCCACGGTACCTCCATGATATATGTTTACTAGATTGTCCATCTAGTTTAAACACGTAATGAAACATATGTCCTTTAGTCCAAATTAGATAATAGATAGTACCTAACAAGTACTTTCTTACTATAAACTAATTAAATAAGATAATAACTACGTATATATATACAGTGTTCTCACTAAATAGCTAGATCCTATTTAGTTAACTAAATATATAACTACATATCTAAGTAACTATCTAACTATATCTATGTACCTATGTATCTAGGTTTCTATCTATCTACATATCTATCTCACTAGATCACTAACTAAATCAACTATCTGAGTCATCACATTAACTAGTAAATAACAAATGCCAAAACTACTACACTACAATCAAAGCTAACTAAGTACGTACATTACATATTCACAATTTTTACCTATCCGACGACGGAGTCGCAGACGTAGATGGAGTCATAGCGACGCCGGGATCGATGGCCCTAGGACGGAGTCATAGTGGACGCCGGGCGTGGGTGAGGCCGACGAGCCGGGCCGACGGTGGTGCAGCCGGGCGCTGCAGGGGCTGAGGCCGACGGTGGCGCGACCGGGGCCGCGGACGTCGACGGAGTCGCAGCGGACGCCGGGATCGATGGCCTTAGGACGGACTCGCAGCGGACACTAGGAGTCAGTGAGGCCGACGAGCCGAGCCGGCGGTGGCGCGCGGACGGCGCGGGATGGCCGGCGCTCCGCGCGGCGAGGCTTAACGGCGGGCGCGCGCAAGGTGACGGGCATGCCGCGATATGGGCGCTGGGTCGTGGCGCTGCGCCAGCTGCCAGCAAGCGCACGGCAAGTGGGCGCGCTGTGGCGCGCGAAAGCGCGAAGCGTCTTGTCGCTGGCGGACGGCGGCGGTGCGCTAGTTCGGGGCGCGCGAGAGAGGAAGAGAGAAAGGAAGGGAGGGCCCATACGTAAGACAGGGCTTGGCGCCTATAACACGGCGCCAAGATCTACGGCGCCAAGCTCTATGACGCCAAGCTCGGCGCTAGGATCTACGGCGCCAAGCTGCCTGCCAAGTCACCGCCATGTCTACGTCGAGCCCAATACATCGACGCTAGCAACGATGACGTCGAGACGTGTAAGCTCGACGTCAGCAACAATGACGCCGAGCTAAGGGTTCAGATTTTGAAATCATACCACCAGAGACATATTTGTGAAATTATTTTTAAAAAAAGAGCTAAAAAAACAAAAAAATATCGGGTACGCCGTCCGCATGCATCAACAAGTGCATGCATGGTGGGCGAGATGCAATGCAAATGGTTTGCTTGGTGCGACGGCGTCCTCCGTGCTCTGACTCACCTTTCCCACCTCCTGCCGCGACGCGCCATTGGCAGCCGACCCTACTCCACGCTGCTGCTGCTCCTCTTCTCTGCTTCCTTCCATTTTATTATAAAAACCTGGCCACCTCACCTCTCCCCACCAAACCCATACCATCCGGCCCACACCAGCGGAGCCTCGCCGAGATCTGCGCCGCCCTCCGCTCCTGCCTGCCTTCTTCTCCATCCATGGCGACGCCGGCATTGCCCCGCGCCCTCGCCGCCCTGCTCCTCCTCCTCCTCCTCGCTTCCACGGCGCGGTCCCAGGAGGAGGCACCGAGCCCCACCGCCGAGCCCCCCGCATCCACGCCTCTCGCCGCCGACTCCCAGCTCGCGCACTCGCCAATCTCCAACCCACCTACCGCCTCCGCCCCATCCGCCGCAGCAGACGCGCCCTCACCGCCGCCGCCCGCTCCGCCCAAGACCTCCCCCGTGGCAGCCCCCTCCTCCGACTCGCCCGCCCCCGCGCACGCGCCGTCCCACTCCCACCTCGCGCCCGCCACCGACGAATACAAGGGCGACGAGGACGGCGACGACAACAAGTCCCCCTCGCCGGCCCCGGCCGCCGACCAGATCAAGGCGGCGAACGTCACCGCCGCCAGCATCGGTAGCGGAGAGCCGGAGGAGGAGCATCGGGAGATGAACGGCGGCAGTAAGGCCGGCGTGGTGCTGGGCACCTTCGCCGCCGCCGCCGTCCTCGGGCTCGGCGTCTTCGTCTGGCGGAAGCGCCGCGCCAACGTCCGCCGCGCCAGGTACGCCGACTACGCCGCGCGCCTCGAGCTCGTCTGATCCGGAGGGAGCTCGTCTGCCGCTCCACGGATGGGATCGGATCCGATCGGGACATGCGTCCTGCCTACACACATTTGCACCGTTAGTAGAGTAGCTAGCCTAGTAACACTTGATCATCATATCCCATTCATTCTTTGGAGGAATAATTAATTGGAGGATATACACGCACATTCATATATATCATATTCATCATTCATATACGGAGATGGATCGAATATACATTTTTGTATAAACATCATCGTGTACTATATATATATTTTTTGGAGAGTGCTCTATTTTATACTACAGTAGTATTCTTAGCTACAATGGCAATGCGGTACTCGATCTTTTATGGTTCCTCGCTCCTAAAATCCATTCCATTGATGAGTTGGACGATTCATATGCCACCTACACTCAATCACTGCACCTTGTTCTCTCAGGTCAGGAGTAGTAGTATATGATAGAGCATTATTGGTGGTGGTTGCAATCCTCTCTGCTACTCCACTCCTCCATACCTAGTAGTAGACAAATGGAACGAGCGGACAAGCCGGCCGGGCTTCCGAACACGGCCATGTGCGGATCTCACGGCTTCCGCCATCCCATATGCCAAGTAAAAGGAACAGACAGCCGGCCGGTCGTCCTAACCATAACCTGGTGGGCTCGACATTTCTTAGCGTCCCTTTGAAAGTACTCATGAGATGCAACACGACAGCAATTTCACGTGAATCATACGGCAATTTGCGTCAAAGCATGCACACCGTTGCAAGGAACCAAGCAGGAGTGAGCGTGCTTCTGGAATTGGTCATACAAATTTGGCTCTTGGGCACACTAGTCGACGTCAAGTCTCGCTCGCTTCTTGTTGACTAAAGGGAATAGTATTTCTTGTTCCTGTACTCCACTAGGCCGCTCTCAGGGTTTCAAATCTCGCAAATTTGCCAAAATTGCATGAATTTTAGAGGTGGTTGAAAGAAGATTCTGAAATTTTGTATTATGCGCTATGTAACTCAAGAGTCACGTGTTTTTTTTTTCGAGTACAAGAGCATATTTTATATTTTTTGTATTGCATATTCTTCTACTCGATAGATATGTAGTTATAAACCATGTTATTATTTTGTTTAGATCTATAAATTTTAGAGAAAAAAACATACTTCATGTTTGTCTTTTAAAAAAGTTTGGTAATTTTGAAGGTGGTTTCGTAGTTGAGAAAAAGAATTAATACCGAAATAAAAAAAAACCCTGATAGTAGTATTACGTACTATGCATGGTTTACTTTACTTGGTTTCAACGATTTCTGTACCGTGGACTCCCCCATCTCCAGCCAAGTAGAAGTACGCATGCTATGGCTGGCGGCATCAGCAAAGTGAGGACGTGCACGTGGTGGTAGGCTGTTAGCAAGGAAACACTGTCATCGAGGCGTTGACACTTTGCCATAAATTTAATCTATCAAACGATCAAAGTTACCAGTGTCCCGATTAGTATCTACAACTAGAATTTTGGAATACTACTAATATAAATCAAAATGATATCGATTCTATGATTCTATCTAGTCTTTTAAATTTTATATCTCGATGCTACATAAAGACTTTACATGATCCTACATAAAATGTCATAGTATCCCGATACTAGATCCTACGATATCATATAATAATTAATATAGATGATTTTTAAAATGATTTTGTTATGATAAAATACTATTTTAAAGTTTAAAGATGTTGAACTAATGCAAAAAAATTGCACTTATAAATATAAAAAGCGAAATGAATTAATCAAAACCAATGTTATAGCCTTCAACCTATATAACATATTACATATATTATATAAAATATAATTTACATTACTGCAAAAATGATTTTAGAATACAACCTCTATTATTAATGAGGCAGACACATCTAGTAGCCGCCTACGTAAAATGGTTGTGCGACCTCCAGTAAAATGCCTGCTTCTAAAAATTATTTAAGAGACGGCCACCTTAGGATGTCCGTCTCCATAAATCGATTTCCAAAGACAGGCGGCTTAAGATGTTCGTCTCTAAAAATAGATATTAATAGCGATAGCTATTCTAAGCGTCCATCTCTAAAAATCGATCTTCAAAAGCGGGCATCTTAAGATGCCTCTCTATAAATAGTTGCAAAAAAAAATAATTCATAATTTTTTATATGAACTCTGACAAAGACGTGCTTTATATCAAACTTTGTGATTGAAAAGTTTATGATTTAAAAATTCTTTAGAGTCCCAAAATGTTGTTGTAAATTTACTGCTTTTAAAATTTGAAATGTTCAAACAATCTCGGATGCTGACATGGTCTATACCAAAGTTTTAGTTCTCATACAATCTACAACTTTGTAGTTGAATTTTTTTTCATTTAAAGTCGTTTAGAGTCCCAAATCTCTTTTCCAAGTTTACAAAATTTTAAATTAAAATTTAGAATTTCTAAACAACCTTCAATATTCACATGGTTAATACCAAAGTTATAGTGGACGATCTAATCTACATGTTTGTTGTTGATAAATTTTTTATTTGAAGTTTTTAGTGTCTCAAATATTTATTTAAATTCACATATTTTGATATTCATTTTTTTTTCAAAAAAATCTCTAATAGAGACACATCTTATTCTAAAGTTGTAGTGCTCGACAAGATTTAAAACTTTGTAGTTGACACTTTTTTCAATTAAGCTCATTTAATAGCTAAAATATTCAATATAAGATTATGAAATATTTGAATAAAAAAGATAAAATCCTATATGCCCACAAAGAAATGTGTGATGCAGTAGTAGCATGGTGTTAGTACTGAATGGTAGGTCGTGAGTTTGAGTGAGTAACATCAATTTTTTTGGTGCAAAAAACAATAATACTAGTAGTAAGGCCACTCTCAGTGGAGAGTTTCATGGCGTTGTTTTCAAGACTGTCATGTCATATGAAATGAAATAAAACTTGGATGAAACACCTACTCTCAATGGAGAGTTTTATTTTATGGTTTCATTGACATTTAATTTCATGACTCATAGAAAGTTGGTAATCGTGCCAAGAGAGTTTCATCCTTCTCTCTCTTCTTAAATACGCTGCCATATCATCAAAATGCCTATGTGGCAACCTATTTAATGCAAATAAAATTCACATGAAACTCCCATTAAGACTGGCCTAGGGACGCTGGATGACGGTTGACGGACACAACACCCCACGGAAACACATGATGCATAGAAAGAGTGGGGTCAGATGCATGGAACAATGAATGTAGGGCTGTAAATTGGGCTAAAAAACAGGAGCCCAACTTGCCTAAGTCATCCCAGATGCGATCCATGCCCTCCACTCAAAAAAAAAAGATGCAATCAATGTCCTAAACTGTTCAACAATTGTATTCTGTTTTTGGTCATCTATCCCCCGGTTGCTTGACCAATAGTGATCTAATCGAGTCATAGCCCATAGTCAAGTCCAGGATATCGACTAGGACAAGTAATCGCGATTAGTCGAGTTGATAACACTATATCCAACATAACAAACGTCTTAACTTGAATTTTAAGTATAATTTCTAGCATCACCTAGATAAGGGAAAGTTGCAACAGTTCTTATTTCTATTTGTGCGAGTAAAGTAGTACATATCAATGCACTTTTCAGCACCAAGAAAATATTTGTCTGATGTACTATATGAACATAAGAATAGTCGGTTTAAGAGATTGCTTGGGAAGAAGCACGAACGGCTAGCGATGTAGTGGAGAATTTTGTTGGTGACTTCACCCTATGATAAAGTTGGTTGCCAGCGACTAAAATTACTAGGCTACGCACGCTTAATCTAGAGAGGCAAATGATTCTAATTGATTATAAGTCACTTTATATGAAACTAATACACATATATTTATTTATAATCTTTACGATCATTACATAGATTGGAACTAAATTAAACGGATCTAATCTAGATCCTCGTTGTTAGAGTTAGGATCCTTCTTTTGCCTCCTTGTTGGGGCCTCATCGGTGGCCTCCTCCTCGACCTCATATCCTCTTCCTCATCAGCCACCTTCTCTACCTTCTCGTTGTTGTCGTCTCCGTACCACTGCTCATCGCTCTGTCGTCCACGGACTCCCAAGCGATCCTTTGTCACCATCAGTCTCCCAGTGTTGTGGTCCTTCCCTATCATGGTTTAAGTTGAAGAATAAGTTGAAGAAAGGAAAGTGGTGGTTTTACAGGTAAATGTTGTCAATATGTAGTGTTGGTGCATTAATGATGTTGAAAAAGGTATAAACTCCAAACAATCACGATAGTATAGTGATGCTACTTTGATCGCCAATTCAGTTCAATTGGCTCTTTCGGGCCCATGGTGATAACTACTATTGCCGCCGGATAGGTATATGATCTGGCTGCGAAACACACTGGCTGAAAAACACACACCGATTAAAATTGCAGATTAGTGCGCTCAACAGGTAGTGAAAACACTTATCACCGCCGGTTTAGTTGGCCACTTCGCACTACCAGTCCTCGAACCGCACCGCCGGTTATATAATAAATGGCGGTGATAAGGCTGCATGCATAACTATTTTGTTGTAGTGGTAAGAAATGTTCTAGAGTATAGATGTTCTGTATGTGACGTTGGATGATAGTCATTTGGCACCAATCCAATGGATGTGTAATATTATATATATATAGAGGCGTACACCAAAAAAGGCTAAGGTAGATAGAATCCATCTAAATGAACTGTATATACATATACACCATTAAAAGTGAGTGTAGTCGTAGAATAGTCACCAAGTAAAGGTTAATAAGTGTGAGTTGTATTATGTAGAGCATTGTCTGCTAGCACAAATTATGTATATGTGATGTGACTCAATGTAACACCCTAAAATATCATTTGCAAATTAGTAATTAGCTTTGAGCATTTATTTGATTTTCTATGTATTTTTAATCTAGGCCAAATAATAAATTTTGGTTAAATAAAATTAACTATAAGGTTTAAAAACATGTTTGTTGCATTCATGTCGAAGCATACTATTTTTGGTTGAGTGTAGGACTAGGTTGTTTGAGGTTGAATTCAAA